ATGATCTCTGAGTATTTAGCATTTCTTAAGTGGCTATAATCTAACAATAATATCTTCTTTAGCCACAGTTTTACTTGCCTTTTTCTGGCCAAGCTGCAAGTTTTCAAATCTTTCATGTCTGCTTTCTATTTCTGATTATCATAGTAAACTTAGCTATAAGCTGCCAGCAATATAGGTATCACCCCCTGAATGCTGTGTTACTGTGAAATTCCCTCTGCCAGATTAATTAGCCATCACCTTCAAATTCAACCTCACAGAAAATCTCAGGACATGGACAAAATGCAGACAGATTCTTTGTCAGAACATAACACAAATGGCCTCTAATTCAATTTCCAAAAGAGTCCTCCTTCTTCTCTGAAACCTCATAAGCCCTGTCTTTACTGACCACAGTCCTATCAGCATTCAGGTGTAAACTCCCACCAGAATTGCCCATTAAGCAATTGCTACAAGGTTATAAAGCTTTTTCAGCTTCCATTTCTAAACTTTTCAAAATTCTTCCCCTGCACAAACTAGCTCTAAAGGCTTCTGAACCACATGGTCAGGTTAGTCACAGTAAGGACTCCACTTCTCAATACCAATTTCTGTTTTAGTGAGCTTTTTCATCACTGTGACCAAAAGAACATGACAAGAACAATTTCAGAAGTCACAATCCATAGACAGTCAATTCCTCTGCTCTGGGCCCAAGTTGAGGCAGAACATCATAAGGGAAGGATGTGGAGGAGGAAAGCATCTCAGGACTTGGCAATCCAGAAGCAGAGGGTAAGGGAGTGCTTCACTCACCAAGGACAAAATACAAATCCCAAAGTCACAACCCCAGTGACCTACCTCCTCCAGCAACATCCTGCCTGCCCAAAGTTACCACCAAGTTAATCTCTATCAATGAACCAATGGGTTATAGCTCTCATAATCTAATTGTTTCACCTCTGAACATTCTTGCATTATCTCAAACCTAAGCTTTGGGGGGATTCCTCATACCTAAATCATAACAATGTGAGACAGAGATAGGAATTTCCTCTGTTTGAATGACCAGATGATAGAGAAATAGCTCTTGCCATGTAAATTTCTGGCAACGTTGGCATGGCTGTGGGTGCACAGGTGGAAAGAAGCACTATTGGTGGGGAGGTGGGGGGAGGCCATGATATGGCATGACTGTACTCAGAAACTCCCTTCCAAGTTATGGGGTCCTAGGAAGGCTTGCCTTCTGTTCAGAATATGCCTAAGGCTTTTCTCTAGGAGCCCATCGTTCATCCCCAAATTGTTGCATGAAATGAACAGCACTATGTCTGAGGAGCCCCAAGTTCTAGACTTTGGTTTTCCAATGCCACAGGTGCTACCTTTTCCAGTCCACTTTACCCAGTTACCTTCTCTCCACTTCCATCCTTCAGTATTATTTCTTCCTCAAAACACACGTGCTGATGTCCACACTGTTCCTTCTGAGCCCTCTCCCTCATCCTTCCAACACAAAGAGCAATTCTCCTTGGATTCACATGCACACACTCTTCCTCCTGCCTGACTCCCTCAGCTGTCCTCTCACACATCATTTAAGACCCAACTCAAATACCATCACTCCTTGGAAGCTTTTCCTATACATTGGGCAGGTTTACCATTCCTCTGCTCAGTTACAAATGTATTCGGGAAACCCCTCTGTTCTCCCCATGGTCACATTGCCCACCATGTTTTGGTCCCTGATGAGTCTCTCTGGACAGCCTCCAAAGCCATGTAACTGGCACATGAAAATATTTAATTACCATTTGTGGGTAACAGTCATTTGCAGTGTTAGCAGGAGTGTTGTTCACAATCGATGGTCTCAAAAGTATCTCCAAGCCCAGAATATATAATTCTGGAAGGCTCAACCAGCAGGTGCCCCAAGGGAGGGAAATTAGCCTTTCCCCGTTTATACTTACCCTGGGGGAAATTCTCAAGCCTTGGGCTGTGACACAAGTCCTGAAAATTGGATCATAAATGTCATTTGTCCCAAGAAGTTTGGACCTTTTTATTCTGAATCTAGTGATAGTCTATAAGCCTCACAGCCTCATCTCTGGGGACAAGGGGAGAGGGTACTTGCTGTGAACTGAAGCCTAAAGGTTGCTTATAAAGCCAGAGCCTGAGTAGAAGAGAAGAAAGGAGGCCAGACTCATCACTGACAAGCTGTCCATTAGAAGCAGAGTGGGCTAAATAAAAATAAAATAAAATGAGGTGTTTATGTCAGCTATGTAAGATAAGCAGGGTGGCCCCAGGAATCACTAATTATAATTGGGTCCACTGGGTTGGATTAGTGCAAAGAAACATATTCAGCCTCCTGTTACTCTGATGGTTATATACTATTTCACAATTATTAGCAATTGTATGCCAAGTACCTTTAAGAAGGGGAAAACATCTTTCCCACTAAATACACTAGATTATGTTTATAACCACAAACACCAAGTTAATTGAAAGTTTGACAAAATTAACTAGCATGTCACAAAATTGAGTTTTATCCCATCCAAATCCTTCCTGCAACAATTACATTCTGGGGGGTTTCTTCCCCTGCAGTTTGTCAAATAAAAATGGCTAAATATTAAAACACAATTCTCCTCACGTCATTACCACGGATTTACTCTGCTGTTGCAAGATTTCAAGATAAAAGTGATGACAGTCTATATAAAACATTGTTATAGGAATATATCATTTGAAAGTTGTAATTTAACAGTTTGCTTCTCCGGAATCCACGAGCTTGAGTGGACGCCTGGCGCTCTGGTGCCCCCTAGGAGTCTTGCTTGGAACAAGCACCCATTTCTCAAACTGCAAGGCAATAGCAGGGTCCTCTGTTAATTAAAAATGAAGGAGAACCAAGGGCAAAGACTTATTTTTATCCTCTCCCAAAAGACATTCCCAGTGTCCCCTGCCCACTAGCCAGATGATAAATCTGGGCAAAATTGCTACACTACCAGTGACCAGAATGGCTTCATGTACAGGCCTGGGACTTCAAAAATCCTTTTTGATACAAAACCCAGCTCTACTTTCAAAGTCAAGGTCTCTGTGGTTATTTAAAGAACAAATGTAACTGAGGGATTTGTTTTGTTTCCTTTAATTTTCCAATGAAATCAGCCCCTATTCTTGGGTGTCAAAGCAGATACTATGCAGCTACAAAGGAGTGATAGGAGAAAGGAAATAGCAAGTGACAATTGTGGCACAGTTTATTGTAAACAGGGTTGGGCCACAGCCTGAGCACAGTGGGAGAAGAGCTAATAAGAAAATGAAGGTGTTGTGTGTTGGTGGGACTGCCATAGACACACTTCTTGTCTTTGATCTCTTTTCCTTTGTAAAGGCCAAGTGATAGAATATTGTTTATCTATTTGCCATGGAAAAGAGGAACTAAATGGCTATAAATATGTAGCCATTCTAAAAAGTGGCTATATGTTTACAAAAGATAAATGTATGCGTGAATATAGATAGAGACAGGGACAGAAAAGGAAAGGAGGTAAACAGAGGGAGAGGGAAGGGAGGAAGGGAGGAAGGGAGGAAGGGAGGAAGGGGTTTCACCTGAAACTGCATGCTGGAAGGGGCAGGAAAAGAGGTCCTAGTTTGCTATTCCTGCTGCAAACTGCACACAGGTCTCCTCTAAAACTACTATCCACCTCCTGATGTAAGTACACAATTTCAACAACACTTAGGAATGTTCCCTGAGGTGGTCTCACTTGTTCCCACTGTTCATCCATAAACTCTGTGAAAGAGACACAAAAAGTTTCTCAATCCAATCCTGGACAACTAGCGTCCTCTGTTGGTCATCTAGTGAAGGAGTGCGCAGACAACACCAGAGAGTCGCGCGCTGGAGAGAAAGCAGACATCAGTCACAAAGACCTCAAGGGCGCGATTGCGCCACGAATTTAAAATCTACCGCAAAGTGTCCAGATTGCGCGCAGATTAGCGAGAATCCCTGTGCCCACTTGAACGCACCGGAAATAATTTAGTACAGGGATACAAAGAAACTTTCAAAAAGATGAGTGTCAAAATTACCAATTTTAAGGACTACTTGGTTATTAATTTCGTTTCAGCAAAGCCCGCTTTAGTACCTTTAGTTCTTTGGTCGCGGATATAAACTCTATTTGAAAACGTAATGAAACACAAAGCAAGAAAAACCGTTGGGATTTAAAATCTTCGAATCCCTTGCTTTAAAGTCGAATTCGCTGCCAGCCCACTCTGCTGAGGACTTGCAGCAAAGGAGCAAGTGTGAGTCGTGTCTGCTTTGAGAAGCAAGCTTGTAAACCGGTGAAGGGCCTCCTGAGCTTCTGCAGAGCACGTATTTATGGCTCCCCAGGGGTTCGAATGGCCCAGCTGGTGCAGATTAAACCCCGCAGAGCCTTAGCTGCGGGAGACCCCGAATCAGGTATTCTCATTCAGAAATGTCCCACAACATGCCCTACACAGGATTTAAATTTTAGAAAGCTTTGCAAAGTAAAGAGTGAAAAAGTGAAGAGAGAAGCTTGCCAGTTTCTCTGACATCTGTTCGCCGCAGGGCAACCTCAATACCGACGTGGAGGGGGGAAGGGCGGCGGCGTCGGGGGCGCCGAGTTGGCTGGGAACTACTGAGGTGACCGAGGCACTGCAGTAGCCTGAGGTGCCCAGGTGGCTGTGTAGCCAGGGGTACCGTGGTTCCCGTGAGCAACTGGATGGCGTTGGCGCCGGACACGCGCGACGGGAGCAGGTGTCGGTGCGAACCACATGATGCGCGCCCCCGCACTTGGGCCCCGCTGTAAAGGGTGAGGCGCGGGCCCCCGGAGTCGTGCTCGCGCCGGCCCGCCCCCCTCCGACTCCTGGGCGCGCCGTTCCGGGGCGTGTCCTCGGCCACCCCTTCTCCTATATAGCAGCTGGTGCGCCCAGGCTGCCCAGATGCGAGCGCTACAGCTAGGTGCTGAGGACCTGCATTTGCCGGCTCCGATCCCACAGCCTCGCACCACTTTCTGTCGCCCAATCCGCGTGTGCTCCGGCTTATTGAGCAGCAGGCCCTAGCGGTGGGCGCCATGCATCGGGCGCGCCCCGCACTCTGGGCCACTGCGCTGACCGCACTGACGCTGCTCCGCGGACCGCCTGTGGCCCGGGCAGGCGCTGGCGCAGTGGGCGCGGGCCCCGTAGTGCGCTGTGAGCCATGCGATGCGCGTGCGCTGGCCCAGTGCGCGCCTCCGCCCACAGCGCCCGCGTGCGCCGAGCTGGTGCGCGAGCCAGGCTGTGGCTGCTGCATGACGTGCGCTCTGCGCGAGGGCCAGCCGTGCGGTGTCTACACTGAGCGCTGTGGCGCCGGCCTCCGCTGCCAGCCGCCGCCCGGAGAGCAGCGCCCGCTGCAGGCGCTGCTGGACGGCCGCGGGTTCTGTGCTAATGCCAGCGCCGCTGGCCGTCTGCGCGCCTACCTGCTGCCGGCACCATCCTCTCCAGGTGAGCTGCCAGCGCCAGGCGCACCGCGCGCAACAGCAGGGACCCGGTGCGAATGGCTGGGGGGGACAGGGTGTGCTGCTATAGGAAACTCCGCACTTCTCATCCAGAAGGTGGTAGTGGGGAAACTGGGGCTCCGGGAGACGAAGGCGCTCGCTAGAGGTACCCTCCGCAGCCAACCTAGAGACTTGCTTCGTTCTCATAGTGCAGAGTTCAGGTAAAAGCGCTTTCAGTGAAACTGGGTAGGTTTCATTGGCGTGGAAAGCGGACACCAAAATTGGCTGTCTGTGGAAAGAGCCTGGGGCTGGGGATGTAGCTCAGTGGCAGAGCGCTGTGCCCATCATGTGTGAGTTCGGTTTGGTTTCCCAGCACGTCAATAAAAAGGAAAGAAAGGTCCTAAACTCTGGAGATTCTCCTTTCCCAATGCGGAGAAGCAGGTGTGTATTATGTAGCCCAGCTCTGGGACTTTCATTCCCCACGAAGTAGAAAGGCGCGGAGGCAGAAACAGGGGTGGATTTGGATCTGGGGAGCTGGGCAGGAAAGTCTAGGAAGATACCTGTCTAAAAATACTAACATTTGCATAGTCTTTGGCTTGGAAAGCAATGTCATGTCTTCTTGTGTCTGAAAACCCCTGAGATGGGATTGTGGTTGGAAAACTTGAAGTTCAAAAACAAGTAACATCTCAAGGTCACCCAGGGGAAGCAGTCTTATAGGTTTGACCCTCATTTGAGACTTTCAGTATCATAACTCTGCACATCCTATCACACCCTGAGCCGGGGAGGCGGTCAGACAAAAGCAAAGGTGTTGGTGCTGCGGGGAGTACAGACCCAGAGGATTTCAACAGCTGAGAAGGGAGTTGAAACCAGAGGACTGTTTCCCTCCTTAATGCCAAGAGGAAGGAATGAGGTACAATTGAAGGGAGCCTCCAAAGGAGGAAAAATGCAAATCTTTGGCAATTCCCCCTTTTGGCTCAGCCACTACCAGGCAGGCGGCAGCAACTCTGTTTAAGGACATCACATTGTTCCCTTAAAAAAAAAATTTTTTTTTTAAATGGATTTGGCAGCTGTTCTAAATTTCAAGCATCCTTAGCCAGTCTTGCTTAGTTATGTGAGGAAAGTTCCTGCCCTGCACAGCTGAAGGCAGGGAGAATTCTTCTCACCCTAGTCCCCCACCTCCACCACCCCCCCATCATGCTGGACAGATGGTGCTGGGCAAGCCCCCATCCTGGATTAGCAAAATGTACAGTCCCTTTGTAATTTCTGTAGTTGTGGAGTTACACTCTTGGATGAAGCTATTCCCTTGATGGTCAAGGCTGGCTTTATTCATCCCTAAGGAACCGGATTAGCGGAAAGACAAGATTCCAGTGGTCACACTGGCTCTAGCCAATTGTTAAAGTCTCTGAATGCTCTTCTCTCATAACAATGTTACGTCATTTGATTGTGGACCTTATTGTTCTAGTACATTTGGGGGTATTCAAAAAGTTATCTTAGAAGTGCTTAGAAACAATGTCCTTTTTAGTTAGGCTTTAATAATCATTATGATTATCACCTTTATAGCTCTATAGTATCTATCTGTTGGTTGATGTGGGGTCTTATAAAGTTATTTTTTTAAAAACTAAGTTGACTTCTAAAATTAATTTTGGAAAAAGTAGTCATGTAATAGTCAAAAGTCATAATTCTCTTGCTTAAATAGAACTGTTTTCTCTTCAGGCTCTAGTCTGCAGTCTAAGCATTAAAAGAAACAGAGGAAGTTTAAGATATTACTCAGCTTTCTTGGAAAAGAAATGCAAATATGTTTATTTACATATCCTTAGCATCTCCATTGTCCCAGTACTCTCTTGGAAAAGGAAAAAGAAACAACTAAGATTAAAGAACATTGAAACTAAATTGATCAATTATGAAACTTTTCTGTCATATCCTGAATTAGACCCTGGGAAATTTTACTTCCCAAGGCACTAAACACCTTGGGGACCTCCAGGAGCTATTGGGTAGGTGAAACTGAGCCCCAGGGAGGGGAGGGGCTTCCCCCAAAATCTCCTCATTAGCCTGCTAGTAGGAGGAGAGAGCAGAGTGTCTACAGCCCAATTATTTCACCCCTTTGGTAGTTTTCAGGGAACCAGGCTTTTGCTCCTCTGAGCCAAGAGCTAGAGGCTGTGGCTGCTTCCCAGTCTCCACAGTTGGGCATATCCCCTGGAGGCAAGAAACAGTAATGGATTCTGAACCAGTTGGACAATGACCAGCGCCCTGACAAGGTTCTGATTGTGGAAGTAAAGGAATTCCATGACAATCACCTGCAGCCAAAACTGAAACCCCTTGGGGATCAGAGCTGTATACCAGCCGCACACCCAGCTTGAAAGCATTTCAAGTCCATTCCTGGAAAGGGATAGAGTTAAGGATTCTGACTATACATCCAGCACCCATTTAGTCATATACCTGAAGTTTCAGTTAAACTGTTAACATTCCAGCAACCTTGTCAATTATTGAGCTTTCTTCATTAGCATTTTTAATTATAATTATAATTTTTAATTTTAATTATAAAAGGGGAGTTTTCCAGAGGTGGCTTTCTCCTTCATACCACCGACCCCAAGGAATGAACACTCTTTGGCATTTAGAGATCTATACTGTGAGTGGGGCTTTGGTGCCATCTGCAACTCTGGAGATGCTGTGCTGACAGGCTGTGCTGACCGGCGGGGAGGACTCACCCAATAATGTGCCCTTGGAGAAGCACAGGGTCAATGTGGACCTTGAGTTTTAGAGATGGGATAGATGGGAAACAAGGCCCCAATATGTCTGTGTGATGCTGGGTCCTGCAGCAAGACCCTTTGTTGTAGGTAGAATTATTTTCCCATCAGAAATGGACAAAAAGTTTATAGCACTGGCAAAGTAGAGGACAGTGCTAGTCAAACTGGAATGAATTTGAGAATTCCCAGGAGGACTTGTTCACACCCAGTCTGCTGCCTCCACCCATTTTTCTGGGGTAGAGAATGTAACTTTCCCCCCAGATCCTGGAGTAGTCGCTGCTCCCAGGAGGAGGAAACCGTACTTGAAGCTGCCTGAGAGATTTCTAATGGGCTCTGCAGCAACTTCTGTGGTGTATATTCGCCCCCTGCTGGACACATAGAACACTGCTGCTTTGGAGTCTAAGTCTTTGAGGGCACTTGATAAAGCATTTCCCACTTTCAGTTGCAGCTACATAGGAAAAGCACATGGCCAACTAACTTTTAAATAGATCGTCTCTTGAGGTAAAGCAACCACAATACGGCAAGCAGTATTACAGAATAACATTTTGTCAAGGTTTTGTTGTTGTTGTTGTTTATTTGGAATGGTCGAATAACTTTGCCATTTAGATGAGACCTGATTGTAATAGCAAGATTTTGAAAAGACTATTGTTCCATATCAACAGTAATCACATCTTTCTCTCCCTTGTGCTTTTCTAGGAAATGCTAGTGAATCTGAGGAGGACCGCAGCACTGGAAGTGTGGAGAGCCAGGCAGTCCCCAGCACACACAGGGTGACCGACTCCAAGTTCCATCCCCTCCATACCAAAATGGATGTCATCAAGAAGGGACATGCCAAGGATAGCCAGCGCTACAAAGTGGACTACGAGTCACAAAGCACAGACACCCAGAATTTCTCCTCTGAGTCCAAGCGGGAGACAGAATATGTGAGAACCTTTCCTCTTAAAGCCAGGAGAGGGGACACCTACCAAGATCCATAAGGGCTGTCTTCACATGACAAGTCCTAATGGTCCTGGAAATGTGGGCAGCCTTACACCCCTCCTAGCACTTATAAAGTGTGTGGTGTGCCCTTTAATCTCTGCACAGAGAGATTTTCATAAAGATGGTTTTATTTTATTCACTGGACACTGTTTTTGGACCTCTGCCAGGTTCTATGTCATATTCTGGGGATTAAAAAAAAGGGGGAGCAATGATTAACTTCTTCATGGGACTTTCTTGCTAACCTATTCAAGAGGTACTGAAGGGATGTATATTATAGGACCCTCCTGGGATGGTTGTGAGATTATTATAATACATAATAGGATTTAAAAGCAATAACCATGCCCCTGTGTTTCTGGTACTTTCTAATCCACAGGGTCCCTGCCGTAGAGAAATGGAGGACACACTGAATCACCTGAAGTTCCTCAATGTGCTCAGTCCCAGGGGCGTGCACATCCCAAACTGTGACAAGAAGGGATTTTATAAGAAAAAGCAGGTGAGTAAGGGCCTCTGCATGTTTTCTTCCTCTCCTCAGAGGAGAAATTGGCCTCAGGTCAACCCCAGGGTTTTTCTGGCCATAGTTCTAACTCCAAGCCATGTGGCACTGGCACTGTGACTTGGAGTCAATCTCAGGAGATGGCACTAAGGGGAACTTTGGCTTGGTGCTCTAAGTGAGGGTTGAGCCCAGATCCAACTCTACATTTTACTGTCTGTTTTAACTACTCACTCAGAAGATACATGGAGGAGCCCTTTATAAACTGTAAAGGGACACACTAACACATTTGTTAATATTGCATCATGGAGTGACATTCTGAATAACTACGGTGGTGAATTTCTTACATGAGGACATAAGATCTGGTATTGACACCTTCCTGGTAGTGACAAGCTATAAAAGGATTAACAAATTTTAGATGTAGTTGAACCAAAATAAGTATGCCTCTATGGCACACCATGGATCTCAGAAGACCTAAGCAAGCAGAACTGGCCATAGATGGCCATGTTTGTCATAGCAGCCACATCAGAGAACTTGTCTTCTTCCATAGCTATTGCACTTGGGCCCTTATTCACACACTCATTTTCTGCCAGTCACCCATTCAGCAGATTTATACTGAGAAGGTACCCTGTGTAATGCTGGGCTGGGGCTCAGAATCAGTCTGTTATCCCAAAGGCAGAAGGAACATACTCATCTCTCCTGTTCTCAGGGAGAGGTTATGCTGCACACACGTGCACATAGACATGTACACGGCCACCCACACACAAGTGACTCTGTGGGAGTGTTGGCCAAAAATTCTGTTATGCTTTCTCAACCCAGCAGAGCCATGCAGGGAAAGCTACCTTGTGCCCTTGTTATCAACTTGCCCAGGTTGTTCATGTCTGTCTTCTCTTTTCTTCCCTCAGTGCCGTCCTTCCAAAGGCAGAAAGCGGGGCTTCTGCTGGTGTGTGGACAAATACGGGCAGCCCCTCCCGGGCTATGACACCAAGGGGAAGGACGATGTGCATTGCCTCAGCATGCAGAGCCAGTAGACTCCATTACACCATGTAAGCCCAGGGACTGGGTGGGGCTGTGGGGGCCTCAGCATCCCTGGCCCTGGGGGCTCCTCTTCCTGGGAGTGGTGGGATAATGAGAGCTGGGCATAACCACCGGCCCTTGTTCAGGTTCACTGCAACTACACCCAGGAACTACAGCCAGGCCCAGAGAGAGAAAGGCAAGGGGACAGATCAGGCCAACCCAACCAATAACACAGGGAGAAAGGCCAGAACCAGGGTGGTCTCAGACACTGTGCTTCATTTTAAATAGTCTACAACATGAAATCTTCAACCCACGCACAGCGTGAAGGCTTTTCAAAGTGAAGCTTTCTCCTTAGAAGTCTGATGATTCTTTATCTTCACATCAGGGAAACTGTTTTCATCCACAAGAACTTGTTAAAGACCCCAGTTTCTAAATTAAAGATGTGGCTAATTTTTTTTTTCCTATAAATATACTGTGAATATTCTCAGTCTGTAGTTAATATAACTTTAAGAAAATTTGTTTAATATGAAATTGGAATTTTAAGCCATCATTTTGAAGAATGCTATTCGATATTCTTTTTTCTTTTAATAAGTCGAGAGAGTTGTTGGGGGGAAATAGGAATAAATGCATTGTTTTATCTCCTCAAGACATTTAGAAAGCAGTAGAAAGTTTTATGTTTAGTTAGTTTATTTTTTTCCCTTGGAAGTTGGAAAAAATAATAATTCTAATGTTAGGGTAACATTTTCCAACTCTGAGCAACTTATAGTGTTCTTTGCTTTCTTGAAAGGTAGCAAATTGACCCCAGTCCCCTGCATACACCACAGCAACATTTATCTGGGGCCTGTGTCTGCAAATCAGGAAGCAAGAGTTGTACCCTTTTAGTTTTTCAGGTGATTATACCAACATATTTCTTTTTCTTTTTGTTTCAGTAAATGTGGAGCTCAAATACGCCTTATTTTGCACAACAGACTGCCAACGACATGATCAGCAGCTGGCTACAGCCTCCATTTATATTTCTTTTGTGGTGAACTGATTTTAAAAAAAAATAGAAAACCAAAGTTTAGGCAGGTTTTTTTTTTGTTTTTTTTTTTAATGCCTATGGTTCCTTTAAATGGGAAACTTGAGCATCTTTCCACTTTCCAGTAGTCAGCGAAAAACAGTTTGAATTTCTCTGTTGCTGCCTATAAAAGTACTCACACGCTCATGCACAAGGCTGTGGACTTCTCCCCACCTGGAATTTTCACCGTGTGTTTTCTGAGGCGGCCGACCCTCCGACTTCAAGACTGTGGTGGCTGTGTTGCTTAATGTAGAGAACACACTTCATCCCCACCCTCAAGAGTAGGAAAACCCCTAAACCCCAGTCACCTGGACATCCTGGCGCATACTCCTGAGGCTCACAGCCCTCTGTGTTGCCATCTTTGAGTCAAAGGCCTGGTCCCTCAATCATGAAGATCATTGCTTACTCTCTGCCAATGACCATATCTGCTTGGGAACTATTGCAGAGTATAAAGTGGAATCTTTAAAAAAAAAAAAATGACCAAGAATGCTCTAGGGAACTCTGGGAACTTATAAAGGCAGGTATTTTTGACCCTCCTTTGTCAGGCAGCTTCCTGAAGATGTGGCCCAGTGGAAGGCTCAGGATGGCCATTGCTGTGGCCACCGTAGGGCAGGAAGGGCAAGGGTGGTGAGCCTCAGCCTCCGTGTTCAACAGCATCATAAACAATGACAGGATTCTTTGGATGACTGCAGAAAATAGTGTTTTCTAGGTGAATTCCTCAAAACAAAATTTATTTTTGAGGATAGTTTTATTGTTATCTCTTTATCCTTCTTGGTACAATGTAAAAAATAAACATACTCTGTAGACGGGAAAGATGAACGGCTTGTTGGGGAGCCTATCAAGGACACTGGGAACACATAGAGACTCACCTGTGTTTGTTGAACTTGGAGTTCTCCTACTTTCTTTATAATTAACACATATATTCAGAAAAAATACATTCTTAATAATTGTTAACATTGTATACAACATAGCCCAAATATGATAGGATCTGTACTAGATAATCCTAGATAAAATGTTAGAGATACTAGATGATTTAACCACGGCCATGACCGAGGAAAAGAGTTCAGGTCCAGAGGCCGGGCTGTTCTCCCCAAGGCCAAACCATGGAGGTCTGGCAAAGATGGGCAGAGGGACTCTGCCCTGCCTGCCATGGTCCTGGGGGTGGATGCACACTGCACAGAGCTCTCCTTGAGAACACAAAGGGGTCTCAAGACATTCTGCCTACCTATTAGCTTTTCTTTATTTTTTTAATTAAGTTTTTGGGGGAAAAAAAGTATTTTTGAAAAGTTTGTCTTGCAATGTATTTATAAATAGTAAATAAAGTTTTTACCATTTAAAAAAAAATACCTCCTTCCCCTTGTTATTGACCGCCTCCAGGTTTTGCATCATGATGGAAATAACTCTTGAGAGGGTAGACTATTCTAGACACAGTAGAAGACTTCTTAAACATGTTGCCCTGTCTCCATGGCTAACAAAAGACCCAATCAAGAGAGCTCCACTGGCCTTCACTGGCATCCATTTAGCACTGGGCCACATCTGAAAGAATGTCCAGTTCTGGGAGGTTGTGATAGTGGCTGTCACTGTGTGGGAAGGTCAAAGAGGTCAGCAGATGTGGTCTGTGGATTTCTGGTTCTTGTATTTTGGGGTTGTGCCCTGTATTGTCTTAAGAGCAGCCTTCCTAAGCCATGCAGGACGACATATGAGAAAGACACTCCCCCAACCAGCCCCATGTCCTTTTCCTGTGGCTCTTTTGCCAGTGTCTCCTTGAAGGGACAAAATGGACAGAGGCAGGAAGAAGAGGAGGGTCCCCAATAGATGCTAGGAGGGGTTCTGAGATCTCAGTCCCCTCTCTGCAGCCTTGGAACAATTGTCTCTTGTCAAGGAGCAACTTGAAGAAATGTACTGAGCCCTTAACTTTAGGGCATTGGAGAACAAACTGCACATCAAGGAATCAGCTGTTCAGAGCCATGTCTGATCTGTCAATAAAACATCTAAAATACTTCCAAAGTCAGAGTTGTACATAGTGAGCAAAAAGTTGGTTCTGGGGGTGTTCAGAGGTTTGGGAGTGTGGGGTATAGCCATGGAGTTGATCATGTGAGAAACCAGAGAAAATGAGGATGCAGACACCTGGGGTGCTAAGCTTGCAAAGCTGCAAGAATGGAGTAAACAGAGGGAGCTCACCTGGGGGTGGGAGAGACACAGAGACCATGGAGTATACCTTTGCAGCAGGCCAGGCATCTAGGGATCCAGGGCAGGAGTTTGGCAGGGCCTTCAGTGCCACTGCAGAGGTAAGAGCCACACAATTAGGCCTTTTCTCCCCGCCCCCAAGTACTGGGTATTGAATAAGGAACTATATTCCCAGTTCTTTTTTCTTTCTTTCTTTCTTTTTTTTTTTTTTTTTTTTTTTCAGACACGGTCAAACTCACAGTCAATCCTCCTGCCTCATTTTCCCAAGTTTCTGGGATTACAAGTGTGCACCATCCACCCAATGATGGTTCTTTAGAAGTCCACAGGGCTTTCCTCCCTGGAAGGCACACAAGTTAGTGGCTTCCTTGTTCTCACTCCTTAACCTCTAATCTAGCCTCTGCTACTTTCCATACTTGTGATGGTCAGTCTATGCATCAGCTTGACTGAAGTGCCCAGATGAAATGTCATTTAAGGGTATGTCTGCAACTGTCTCCAGATGACAGGAGGATTTGAATCAGTGAGTCCAATAAAGCAGGTTATGTGATTGGGCATCATCTAATCCATTGAAGGTCTTAACAGAGCAAAGGGCAGAGGAAGAAAGAATTTGCACCTTTTTTCCTGCCTGCCTAGGCCATATACTCTCTGCACCTCTACTGGAACTCACATCACCACATTACCAATTCTCAAGTCTTTGGATTCAAGACTTAACTCCACCTCAGTTTTCCCAAGTATATAACTTATGGATGACAGATGGTGGAACTCCTCAAAGCTTGAGTGTGTAAGTCAGTTCTTCATAATAAATAACTTTTTAAATGTTTTTTAGTTGTAGTTTAACACACAACCTTTATTTTATTTATTTTTATGTGGTGCTGAGGATTGAACACAGTGCCTTGCATGTGATAGGCGAGCACTCTACTGCTGAGCCACAACCCCAGCCCCAATAAATAACTTTTGATAAGTGATTAGATACATCAATGATAGATAGGAGATGACTGATGGATAAATGGATATAGAAAGATAATTGATAGAATGATACAAAATCAATAGATGATTGATGGATATAGATACAGATCATAGATAATTGATGAATAGATGGATGGAGATAGATGGAAGGGATTGACAGATGATAGATTGTTATGATAGAGGATTGACAGAAGATAGATTTATAAATAAATAGACACTTAAAGGATAATTGATAGATGATAGATGACCAAAGGATGATTGATAGATTATAGAGATGGAGTTGTAACTCAGTGGTAGAGTGAGAGGCCCTGCTTTCAATACCCTATACCAAAAAATATACAGATAGAGATAGATAAATGATAGATAAATATAGATAGACAACAGATACACAAGAAGATACATACGTACATATTTACATACATAGATGTAAATTATTGGTTCTGTTTCTCTGGAGAACTTTGACTAATCCAACACCTTTGATCACATCTTCCTTCTAAATATTCTCTTTCCACTTGCAGTAAATATGGAGAAACTATGCCCACCTGGTCCTCCTCTTGCCCACCGCTCCTCTGCCCCCCAGCTTGGACCCTGGGAAGCCCCTCTGCCCCGCTGCCTTCTCCCCCAGCCACCTTCTGCCCTCTCAGGCTTTAAGGTCCTGTGCCGCCCACCCTGCACACCCAGAAGTGGAAAGCTTTTGACACCCTGGAGTCAGGGCAATGCAGAGGCTGTGTCAACAGCCTCTTTAACATTGACACAGCTTCTAAACTGATTGCAGAAATGATCCTGATAGCATCCTCAGAGGAGTGC